GTATATATATTGCATTAGCGACAATGCAACGATATGGCACAAAACAAGTAACACAGATAAAAAAAAAGTCAGTAAAAACCTAAAAATACAAGCAATCTTAGGCCTAACTTTGGTTTTAAATACACGAATCAAAATAAATATCAATATTTTTATAAATCCTTAAATGCATTAAGCTACCAGCCAATTTAAGGATTTGTGCCAAAAAAAATTTAGAGTCATGTGGTATTAAGGAGGCGCCTGTTACTGTACCATGGACCTATGGTAGGTCCATAAATGTTCTAAACAAAATCGACCACGATGGGACTCGAACCCACAATCTTCCGATTCGAAGTCGGACGCCTTATCCATTAGGCCACGCGGCCGTCGTTATCAGTCTCTAATGTTTAAAATCTGACACAAGTTATGTCGGTCTCTCCTAATCTTAAATAGTCAAAATAATAACCTTTGTGTATTAATTATGCCTCATAATTTCCTTCTCCGTTATTAACAATATTATCATTAGTATTAATATTTACATTTAAAGAAAATTAATAAAAAGAATTGACCACGATTGGACTCGAACCCCGAATCTTCCGATTCGACATATTATTATTATTATTATTTATGATAACATAAGCTACAAACAAACAACGGGCCGCAGCAATCAGGTTTTTCACTAAATTACAGACGCTCTATATAAATTATCATATTCATTACGGTACCAGCCAATCTAAAGATCAGTGAAAAAAAAATAGTTATGTGGTATTAAGGAGGCGTCTGTTGTTTGGCACAACCACAGACAAATACTTCTACGTTCTAAAAGAAAATCGACCACGACGGGACTCGAACCCACAATCTTCCGATTCGAAGTCGGACGCCTTATCCATTAGGCCACGCGGCCTTCGGCGTTGTGTCCATGTTTGAAATCTAAAAAAAATGTATGTCGGCCCCTTTTAATCTCTGATAATACTCAAAATAATATCTTCGTGTTTTAATTATGTTTTATAATTTCCTTCTCCATTACTTTCAATATTATCATTAGTTACTGGTATAGTAATATTGTAAATTGACCACGACGAGTCATGGTATAAAGTTGTTTAGCGCGAAAAAAAAAAAAAAAAAAAAAAAAAAACATTTCATACGTTTTAATCGACTGAAAGCTAATAACGCACTTAAATATACAAAGTAAGCATTTCATATATTGAATTAAATTTTCAAAGTCTATTCTTAACCCAGACAGTGCATCTTTAAGTACAACCGTGTTTTATTGTATCGTTATATCTGAAGAATTGGCGTCATAGTCTATAAAAGTTAATATACGGTAAATGAATCGTACCTGATTTGGCGTTCTGTTGACCAAACAAGGCTGACCCCAGCGCTTCAGTGAAAATAATGGCCGATACACCACCTCCAGAGTCTCCGAACGTAAGTATAGCATTGTTCATGTCCGCCTTGTCGAACCTTTGTACAAAAAATAAATGTAACAGTATAAAACATTATTGATATATGTTATACAGAGCCAATTAAAACAAACATATGTTTGTCACCGGCGTTGAGGATAACAGGCTAATAAATGATTGAGTCTTATTATAAACGAAAACAAAATTATGTGAATTTATAAGGGATTTAAACTTAGTATGATTAAAGAGAAAACAAATTTCAGAGAGGATACATAATTCCATAAACAAGGTAAATGAAGAGTCGTTCACCAGTTCTGATATTTATATTTATTTTTTATACGAGGAGAAAATCAAATATGGAATGTGGCCGTCTAGTTTGATGGAGAGTTGGAAAGGAGCATTATCATCGAAATATATAATTTTGTTAATGATGTCTATATGAAAAAGGGCCCAGTTGTTTGAGTTTTGGGGAGTTCCAATTTTAATGAACCAAAAGTAATGTAGGCGTATCAGTCAAGTAAACTCCACAATATAGTGTCACCTAACAATTGCATCAGTTTTATATGCCCAGTGTTCTTGTTTATCTTTTAGTCGTCTATTTATTATTGCATATTATATTCGTATATCTATTTTGATATAATATAGAATCATATTATTTTATATACTTATCTTAGTGTCATTTAAGATGGGATCTTAAAAGTATTTTCGTTAATAATTACATACTACTACTAATAATAAAAACATAAATCGCATTATGACAATAACAATAATAATTACAGTAATAAAATCTAATAGGCCTATCAAAACTTGTACGATTACGTAATAGTGACATCATAAGATGCTTACCAATAATCCATAGCAAGTGCCGGATACTCCAAACCTGATACTTGGAAACATTTATCGAATTTGCTGGCGTTTACATCATAGAAACCTGCATAATAAAAATGATAAATAATATATCAAACCAAAAAACTATATGTATAGTTATACAAATAAATGTATATGTATGTATGTTTTGTGAGATTATAGAAATTACTACACAGGGCCTAATATAACAATTAGGAAGCACAATGGGCAAAACGTCTAACCGTTCTGCACTTCGCACAGGCTAATAAATTGAATGCTACAACAGACTACCAGGTACCAAATCTTACCCCTGGGGTGGAGAGACAAATCTAGTATATTGTTTTGCCGCCCAGAGATACAAGCGAAGTGTACAACGAGGAGCTCGAACCCCTGTCTTCATGGTTAAGAGACCGATGGAGCTCCAAAAAGGAGCGAATCGCTTCGCCAACATTTTCTGAGCTTGGAATCGTGTGATACAAGTAGGCCACGCGCATGGATGTGCTGTAAGTCATTATCAATGACATAAACATATATGTAAAAATACAGGACGCCTTACATGTTAGTGGCACCCAATTATTGCCCAAACAAAACGATGCATACAAATGACGCATTCTATATTCAAAGCCCGGTAAACACTTTGCTATAACAACGTTTTCGACCTCCGTTCTGCATATTTGACAACAGCTCTACTTCTGTCTGTGTAACATAGGAATAATGGATATATAT